CAGACGGCTGAAACTCTCCATTTGTTTCGAAATCAGTGTAATAAAACTCCGATTCAGAGTCCCAAACCATTGAAAAAGTCAATTATGTGTCAAAAATGCAAAATTAGCTCCTTTCACATGCACAAGATAAACATTTGTCCGCAGCATTTTGTTAAAGGTTTCTATAGAGAAACACAATACGTGCTGAGAACATGTCACTTGTGACGTCAAAGATGATCGCCTACTCGTGACGATTTTCGCCTCGAGTCTCAAGATGTCGGAACAATTGTCGTTTCTCAACTTGAAACGCCTGTATTTGAAAAACGGTAACTGTGATTAAAAAAATTTTTTCGATCCCGGAATTTGCTTGTCACAAACTACCGTTTTAGCCAAACTTATTTTTGCGTGTCAGTTCTCCTTTAAAAGCAATTTTTTATAACGCTTCTGTTTATTTTAGGCCCAAGACTGGAATTCTGTTGATGAACATGGGTGGCCCAGAAACAACTGACGAAGTTCACAGTTTTTTATCAAATTTATTTCATGATGGTGATCTAATTCCTCTCCCTTTTCAAAAGTAAGTACTTGCATTCTTTGTTACCGAAATATCTGACAAAAGCACAGAATAGCATGCTTCCACTTCTCCATGCTACTTGCGTTCTATTTATTTTTGTGTTACACACAGGGCTGCCAAGATAATTTGGAGAATGAGGGAAATAAAGTGGAGAGTGAGGCCCATGCGAGTGAAGCGAGCAGACAATTTTTGCGACCATACCCTTAAAATTAGCTTAAATTCATCCATTTGCCAAAATTTTTTTTGTTTAAGGGCATAATTTTGTTAAGCAGAGTTCATTACTTAATGAGGCCCCCTACACCTCAAGGCCCTGGGGCAATTTGCCCTCCTTGCCCCACTCTCGGCTGTCCTGGCTTCACAATGCATTCTGAATACAGGTAATAGCCATTCAATGTGGAGTACCCAGGCCCCACCCTCTAGGGACCCTCAGAAAACACTATTGTTGCATTTGGGTGACAATGGTTTTATTATGCTTGGTATCCATATGCTCGTGTGCTGCATTCATAATTGGGAGTGCCTGAAGTACAGTAGGTTCCAGCATATAAGAAACCACTTTTTAAATTGAGGCCTCAGAACATTTCTTGTTTTAAGATTCTTATATATAGGTTACAAATTTTTTAAATAAGCAACTAAGCTTTAACTGTTTGACCGTGTTTGGTTATGCAAAATCATGTTATTTATTATTAAAAGAAGCATAAAATAATTTATTTTTTCTGGAAAAAATTGTTTTAAATTTCTTATAAATGTGCACCTTATAAGTATAAAGTAGTTTTTAGGATACGGTGAAATACTCTGTGGAGACAAGAGGTAGAATACAGCTACAAAATAAAGAATACAAAATTTAGGGGATTATTTTTTGGCACACAGGAATAAAGTATGACGGATCTAAAAACAAGAAACTTTTCAATTTCAGACCTAAAATTGTCTCTTATAAAAGGAGCCCTTTGGAAAGAATTTGAGGCTGGTTTCTTATACAAGGGGGTTTCTTATATGCGGGAACCTACTGTATTGTCCTTAAACTGTTTTTTAATTTTTTATCTACTGTTGGTACATAGGCTGAGATGGCCCTTTACCTAATTACAATTTTTTTTGTATAATAATTATAATAAAATTTATATCCAAAATTGACAAAAGGAAACATTATATATACAAAACTGATTAAAGAACAATGCCGATTTCCAGCAATTGTATAAACTTATAAACTTTTACAATTAAAAATACATTGATGTATATAACAAAAAAGGTTTGATCAATTTATTGTTTAATTGATATCTTATGGTAAGATTCTGTATTTGTACTGCTATCAAAATGATACGTCATGTTACTATAGGTCTGGGAAACTTTTGGCCAGCAGGTGACATCCAGCCTTTTGGGAATTTGTGTCCGACCCGCATCAGTGTGTACTCAATCAGAACATGATTGAAAAAATGTTATAAACATATGATATGATATATTTTGATATATTATATATATTATATATTCAGTTATATATATTTTGATATTCATGCTAAACAATTGTGTCAATTTTGTTTTGAAATCGCACCATTTTTGAGAATACTTTTGTAGAAATATTTTTCACTGTACATACATACACCATAATTTCGAAATATTGACGTCATGTCTCCAGCTCCCTGCTAACCAGTGGCAGCTTGTATAAATTAGTATAAATTATTGCATTTTACACGGGGAGATAATTAACACTGCACATAATATAATTATCATTAAATGTATTCTCCAGCTCTCCAGCATGCTTCAGATTTCTCATGCGGTCCCTTTTTTCAATTAATTGTCCACCCTTTTGTAACTATGTGTATTACACTGTATTCATTAGTGACGAATCCAGCGTGAAAAATCTAGGAGGGCTGGCCGGGGACCAGCTTTCAATTTGAGGGGCCGTTTCCCTACGTGAAAAGGGTTTTCAACAGAATGCAAAGAAGGGTTTTCAACTCTGTTTGGGCTAACCTTGGTCACCCCACCCCAAGAAGCTGTCTTGTCAGTGGCAGACACTTGGGGGGGGGGCGACCGCCCCCCAATACTTTAGAGGAAAATGGTCTTTTGTTTTAAAACAATGGGAAATGTGACATCATTTTATTAAAACAATAGGCTTGCCCCCCCCAATATTTGACCAAGTGTCCGCCCCTGTGTCTTGTGATGATATTTAACATATAACATATATATAACAAATATAGAATCACAAAGAAAAGATGGTTGTCAATAATTAAATTTTTCTAGCTGCTTCAGGAAGGAATCAGAATTTTATTAATGTTCACCTCAAAATGCTTATCAGGGTCCCTAGCTTGTCATAAAAAGGCAATTAAGATCGCGTTGAGCAAAATATAAGATAGCTACTCTAGCCTGCGTCACAGACCATTACCACCAGGGAGGAGACTCCTTCTTGGTGGTAATGGTCTGTGACGCAGGATGAACTACACTAGCTATGACAAAAAACAATTGAACAGCTATGAAAGAAAATTTGATTTATTAATAATAACTTTTGTACAAAACTGAGGGGCCATGCAAGGGGCCAAGAACAATCTGCAGGGGTCATGGCCCTTTGCCCCCTTCCCGTAGAAACGCCACTGGTATAGTTAAATAATTTATTTTCTCTCAAAAACCAGGTTTCTTGCACCTGTCATCGCAAAACGAAGAACCCCCTCAATACAAGAACAATATGCGAAAATTGGAGGTGGTTCTCCTATTAAGAAGTGGACACACATCCAGGGTGAAGGAATGGTGAAAATTCTCGACCAGATATCTCCAGGAACAGGTTTCCTCTCATTCAACCATAGTTCTGTTAGTTATATACGATGAATGTATGGCCAAGTTGTTTAAAGGCAGCCTGCCCCCCCCCCCCGTGATTAGCTAATTCGAACGTGTAAGCCTCGCTTTAAAGATAGTGAAATAAGGTAAATAGTCGTCCTCAACAGGGGGTCCTACACTTTCGGCGTGGTCAGTGTAGTTTCATGTGATCTTGGCGACGGTTATAACCCACTGTTGACGAAACCTGTTTTCACATCAGTACGAGACGGCCCTGTTCACACGATACCGGATTCATTTCATATCGGATTCACTGACCCAATCCGATACGAATATCGAGCTCTGTTCACACGATACCGGATTCATTTCATATCGGATTCACTCCTGTTTACACGGTGATGCTACGCCTATCCGATATGAAAAGCGATCCGATACAAAATGAATCCGGTATCGTGTGAACAGGGCCTTCATGTGATCAGTGTTAGCTCCACAAATAGCAATGTAGGACAAATATCACGACTTGGCGCATTTTGGTATACCCTCTCCTTTTATCGTAACTCAGTGCTTTTAAGAAGGCATTTCTAGCATCCGAAATTTTTAATTCAGGATGAACACGACACGACAAAAAATACCTAATCTTTATATCATCGAAACTGATTTGGACGTTTGACACCAAAATAAAATTCAAAGCAACTCGCTCAGTGAAAGTACGCTATGGTGGTTCTTCATTCTGATTGGCTATTTGTGCATTAAGCCAACGATGCAAGAATATCGTGGCCCTGAAAAGAGATTCTGAGAACAATGGGGGACATACTGCCTTTAAATGTAGCTTAATTGCTGTTTTAGGACAACTGCTCGCGTGAAATTTTCAGTTGCCAAGCAAAAATTCTTAAGTGATGACGTCACAAAAATCTATTCTGGTTATATCTAGTTATAGTTATATCTGGTTATAACTTTTTGAATTTCGATCTCATAGCCTGAAAAAGCATCATGAAATACATATTAATGTGCAAAATCAGTTAATCCAGTTACAAATTTGCTGAGATATGTCCACAAGAGAGAAGGGCCCTTCCCCATTAAGTCACTGTACCATAAATCCTCTTATTCGCCTTATGCTGGCAGAATCATATGCGAGCATAGTCTTCTGCGGGCATAACCATCTGTGGACATAACCATCTGCGGGCATAATCATCTGCAGGCTTGATCATCTGCGGGCATAATCATCTGCGGGCATAACCATCTGCGGGCATAACCATCTGCGGGCATAACCATCTGCGGGTAAAACCATCTGCGGGCATAATCATCTGTGGGCATAACCATCTGCGGGCATAATCATCTGCGGGCTTGATCATCTGCGGGCATAATCATCTGCGGGCATAATCATCTGCGGGCATAACCATCTGCGGGCATAATCATCTGCGGGCATAACCATCTGCGGACATTGCCATCTTCAGGCATAACCATCTGCGGGTATAACCATCTGCGGGTATAACCATCTGTTGGTATAACCATCTGCGGGCATAACCATCTGCGGGCATAATCATCTGCGGCCATAATATTCTGTGGGCATAACCATCTGCGGACATTGTCATCTTCAGGCATCACCATCTGCGGGCATAACCATCTGCGGGCATAACCATCTGCAGGCCAAATAATCTGCGGGTATAATCATTGCCTTTGTCTGCATTTTTAGCACCGCACAAATATTACATTGGATTCAGATATGTTGACCCCTTGACAGAAGATGCAGTTGATGCAATGGAAAGGTAATTGGCTGAAGTTTACTTGTTGCTTTGACTTAGGAAATTAGCCATCTATATCAATATGTTACTAACGTGCAACAAATAATACCAAATAATTCAACCTTCGTTTAAATAGATTCCAATGTCATCTTTGTCTATCAACAGTCTCCTTTGGCCTCCTCATCCTGCCTCCTCCTCTGCTCCATGCTGTTTCCCCATTTAATGCCCCCTCCTTTTGCCCAGTCTGCTTTGTCTCTCTCTTGATTCCTTCTCTTTTCATTTTCTCTCCCCTTTCCTTCTTCTTTACCCTCTTTGCCTTGCCCATCATGCTGTCCTCTTTCCCGCTTCTTCTTCTCCTTCTGTCATCTTTTTGGTCCTTTAACTTCTATCCCATTCCTACTCGCACCTTTTGTCTCTTTGCTGCCTGGTCTTATGCTCCATCTACTGTATAACCTTTTCCTGTCCCTTTCATATTTCGTTTTATCTCTTCATCTTTCCCTTCTTCTTTCTTTCTTCTTTCGCTTCTCTTTTTCTTTCCCCTTTTTTCCTTCTTTTTCCTCTTTCAATTCTTTTTTCCTTTCTTCTTTCCATTCTTTTTTCCGATTTTCTTTCCATTCTTCTTTCCCTTCTTCTGTCCATTCTTCTTTCCATTCTTCTTTCCCTTCTTTTTTACAATTTTCTTTTCCTTCTTCTTTCCACCTTTCTCTCATCCCCTCTGCTAACCCTGCTTTTTTCATTTTCTCCTCTCCCTTCCTGCCCTTCCTATCCCGATCGCTGCACTAATCTTTTTTTCATTTTTCCTGCCCCCTTTCTACTCGCCACTTTTTCTCTTCATGTTCCTTTCTTTCCAGCCCCCAATCCCTGCCTGCTGTTCTTGCCCTCTCTTCTTGACCTCTTTATCTTCTTTCCTATTTATTTCTACCCACTGCTGTCCCCTCTTCTCCCAATCTCTTCTAGTTTATCTTCCCTTTCCCTCACCTTCGCCTTTTCTCTGCATCTTTCTCTCCCGAAATCTTTCCTGTATCCACTTCCTTTTTTCTTCCCCCTTTTTCTACCCCTTTTTCTACCCCTGTTGTCCCCAATTGTCCCAACCTCTTCTGGTTTATCTTCCCTTCCCCTCACCTTCCCCTTTTCTCTGCATCTTTCTCTTCCGAACACTTTCCTGTACCCACCTCCTTTTTTCTTCCCCCCTTTTCTACCCCATTTTCTACCCCTTCTGTCCCCAATTGTCCAACCTCTGCTGGTTTATCTTCCCTTCCCTTCACCTTCTCCTTCTTCCTGCATCTTCTTCTTCCGAACCCTTTCCTGTACCCACTTTTTTTCTTCCCCCTTTTTCTACCCCTTTTTCTACCCCTGCTGTCCCCACTTGTCCCTACCTCTGCTGGTTTATTTTCCTTTCCCCTCACCTTCCCTCTTTTCCTACATCTTCCTCTTCCGAAACCTTTTCTGTACTTACTTCTTTTTTCTTTCTCTTTTCTAGACCTTTTACTACTCCCAAGCTTTAGCCTCTTTCATAATTCCCTGGATGATTCAAAGTCTTTATAACTAAACTCATCAGTCAATATAGACTTGACATAAAAAAGATCTTTCATTTATTTCCAATGCAGAGACGGCATCGAGCGTGCAGTGGCCTTCACACAGTACCCACAATACTCTTGCTCCACCACTGGTAGCAGCTTGAATGCTCTCCATGGCCACTACAAACGAAACAACAGTAAGGCGAAGATGAAATGGAGTGTCATAGACCGATGGCCGACGCACCCAAAGCTAATCAAAGTAAGTTACCCGGCTTCTGCGGGCATAATTATCTGCGGGCATAATCATCTGCGGGCATAATCATCTGCGGGCATAGTCATCTGCGGTCATAATCATCTACGGGCATATTCATCTGCGGGCATACTTATCTGCGGGCATAATCAACTGCGGGCATAGTCATCTGCGGGCATACTCATCTGCGGGCATACTCATCTGCGGGCATAGTCAACTGCGGGCATAGTCATTTACGGGCATAGTCATTTACGGGCATAACCATCTGCCGGCATAATCATCTGTGGGCATAGTCATCTGCGGGCATAAATATCTGCGGGCATAATCATCTGCGGGCATCGAGATCTACGTTCTTTGGTCTTCGTTTATTTAAGCCATATCTCATTATTTAAGTGATTTTTCATGTCATCGCCCCAGCCATTACGGTCGTTCTGTTTATCTATCCTACTGCGAAGTTAGCTTTTCATGTGAGCAGTTTTGCATCGCAAGAATACTAACCAATCACAAGCCGTTATTTTGATGGGTGGCTTGACAAGTTGGGTATACGCAGTCCTTTTATATGGACACATTACCTTTAAAGGTGCTGCACAGAAATTTTGTTAACTATTACGATTCGCGGGACGTCCTGCGTTAGCGCTAAGTTTCCGTCAGATTGGCAGGTGTCACCGCTGCGGGATGCCTCACAGTTCAAATGAAGATGCGTGTCATTGAAAAATGGTAAAAGCAGTTTTTTCTTCGCAATTTCCTTGATCAAATTTCTTTTCACCTATTAAATGTTACGTCTGACTGAAAATATTCTTATTTGGCGCTTAGTTGGCACTTTCCGAAAAACCAGCTAATATAGTGTCCTTTGGGTCACCTAATGCACAGTGCTACTTAGATCTATTACAATGGTTTTACCCCCGGTTCTATTTGCAGGCATTTGCTGATTCAATTAAAGACGAACTAGCTGTATTCGCGGAACAGGGGGTAGAAGACGACGTAGTGATTCTTTTTTCGGCCCATTCGCTTCCAATGTCGGTACGTTTTCGTTGAATTGGTTTTCTACCTAGCACGTGACTATGAAATTTTTGGTAATTTTTATCTTCTTCGGTAAATTTTACTTTTTATGTTAATAAATTTAGATTTTACTTCTAAGTTTACAGTTTTACTGTGTCGGTAAACTTTGAACCTTCACTCAATAATGCGGAATTCTCCCTAGTCAAGGTACGCCACTGTATAATTTTATATTAAGAAATCATTTTAATTATTATAATTATTATGATTTATTTTGCCCTAATACAGGTTGTTAATCGTGGAGACCCATACCCACAAGAAGTTGGTGCAACTGTACATAGAGTAATGGAAGAGCTGAACTTCAGTAATTCTTACAGACTGTGTTGGCAGTCAAAGGTGAGATAAAGTAAAAACCTTCCAGGGTACCACGTCTCTGTTCCAAGCTACATGTCCTAGAAGGTGTGCCAATAGGACCAAAAAGTGACAAAAATGATCTTCTGTTTATAACTTTTGAACCAGAAATGGGAAAGATATAGGATATGGCACAACTTGAAGGTCTTATAAATAGCTAAAAGTGACGGGAGTTTAGGCGTGTTAGGGCGTTGCACCTACGTCACTGTGACGTTAGAAAGGGCAAAAATGAAGATTGCTTATAAGAAACTGCAGATTGTGGTACCAAAATAAAAGGAACTATGATGCCTGAATTTTCTCCTTTTTTAAATAGCTGTTTTTTAGAACAAGAACTTTTGAAATAGAATAAATGTTAAAGCAGTTTCTCAGAAAGAAGGTAGCTTTCGACATATTGACTCAAAGATTCTGTTCTCTTGAAGTTCATAAATTCCTGCAATAATGTTTGATTGTCAAACCCGGAATGCTCATATTAATTATCATAGTTCGAAACAAGTCAGAGAAAAAATTTTTTAAACGCAAGGATTGGAAAAAGATTTTTCCCTTCTCTCCTCCGCATCCACTTATTTTTTGCCACCGCAGCTGTCTACAACACTTTATTCCCGGGTCTATGGTTCCCAGGGTAGGATTTACGGAATTTGGTTCCTTCTCAATTTGACATTTCATAATAATCATTTCTTTACTCCTGTTTTAAGGTTGGTCCTGCTGCTTGGCTTGGCCCTCAAACATCAGAATCGATTGAAGGCCTAGTGAAAAACGGTCGAAAAAATATCCTCTTGGTTCCAATTGCTTTCACATCAGACCATATTGAAACTTTGTTTGAGCTGGATATCGAATATGCGGAAGTTCTTGGGAAAGAGGTAAGAGTTCTTGTAAACAAAGTTTTTGTTGGAAAATAAGAGAGATCTTGGAAAATGTAACCATTATTTGAACAAATTTTTGAAATTTTTTTAAAAAGTTTTTAAAGGACAAGTGACACGCTTTTGGCGCCAAATTTTTTTTTTCTTTTAACTTAAAGTAAAATGCTGTATGAGAGTGCTGTTAAAATATTTTTCCTTTCTGATTTCATTTTCCTACTTAAAAACCCTTTTCAAATTATGGCGGGAAATGAGTCACGTGACACCGTGACGTAGATTGTGATAATTTGCTATTGCTGCTACTGCTATACAGTGCAATATCAACGTTTACAACACGCTTCTGTTCTTCTGGACCTGTCGCGTTGTGTTTCGTAAACTCTCTATTAATGACAGGAAAATTCCGAGTTATCACAATGTACGTCATAGGGTCACGTGGTAAAAAGCAAAATCGCGCCCCCTGCGCCCCCTGATTAGAATTTTTTGTTCTAAACCAGGAAAAACTTACTTCTAAATGATGATCTATAAATTAATGAAAAGAAAAGATAGGGTGAAAAGTGTGTCACTTGTCCTTTAAAAAGAGAGAAGATAAGAATTCTAGAGACGTGTAAGAATTCCTGGTTGAAAGGATAGAATTTTGAAGGTAAATGAACTGTGTTGTTGATGAAATGAAAACGTTTCCAATGAGCTATCCCCCGTCTTTGCAAACAAAATAATGTGCAAAAAACCCAATCTTTACCAGACTAGCCTTTCTTCTTCAACAAGGGTTCATAATTCATGTTTTTGTGGCGCTGGTCTTTCAAACAATGTAAGCAAAGAATAATATTTATCGATATTCACTAAATTTTTTGGTAGAAATGTCTGCTTGCTTGTTCTCTATCGAATCACTTCCGCGCGTTGTCTGACAGAGAGCTTGGGTAGTAGTGGTCAAGTCCAATGTGCATGCTCGTTGACTCCAAGACGGGGGGTTGTCCCGAGTATTGTATTCAATGATTTCAGTGAGTATATACATGAAGAACGTCTCCGTATTTCCAGCACATTATTTTCGATCATAAAACGACTCTTACATTTCTATCGGTACCCCTAACATTAGAATTTCCGGAAAAATGTTGTCATTTATAACAAGATGTTGGAAATTATAATGAAAATCTACCATATTTATACAAGCTTAACAAAGCTTAACAAAATTTCAAAGGTTAAAAAAGTTACACTACAGAAGTTAAAAAAGTTACTAAAAATCTAGGTTTGTGTCCCTGCTGGTTGCTTTAAATCTCAAAAGTGATTTTTCAGTGTGCAAGCTATTGGGTAAGTTATTAAAAATCTTTGCACCCTGGAATAAGAACATTTTACGTCCTGTTTCTGTCCTAACTTTTGGAATGACTACACTTTTGTTGTTTTTGCGGGTATTCTAACTATTGAAGGACATCGAGGACTTGCTAAGGCTTACTAAGACTTGAAAGACTAGTTAATTTTTTTTTAGTTCAGTTTAGTCATTAGAGTTAAGTTTAGTTAAGTTTAGATAAGTTTAGTTAAGTTTAGTTAAGTTTTGTTTAAATAAGTCAAGTTTAGTTAAGCTGTGTTTAGTTAAGTCAATTCAAGATATGTTTAGTTAAGTTAAGCTAAGTTAAGTTTAGTTGATTTAACTTAAGTTAAGTTATTTGATTAAATCAAGTTTAGTTAGCTGTGTTTAGTTAAGTCAATTCAAGATAAGTTAAGTTAAGTTAAGTTAAGTTGAAATAAGTTGAGTTTAGTCAAGTCAGGGTAACTTTCGTTTAGTTAAGTTAAGTGAAGGTAACTTACGTTTAGTTAAATTTAGTTAAGTCAAATCAAGGCTAGTTAAGTTTTATCAAAATGGCTTGACCTTTATTTGTGTCTATTTAAGGTTGGGGCCAATGTTAGAAGATCAAGATCGATGAACGACAACACTCTTTTTATCGAGGTTTGTTTTAACTCTATCAATTTATTCCTAGGCTCTTTTAACAACTTGACAGGCAGTAAAAGACCTAATCATTATTCTTGCGGAACACCTTTCAACTTCACTTGAGGCCTTGTTCTTATTTTACCGGATTCTGATATTCAAACAATCTTTACGTGGTACAAAAGTTAATAATGGCTTTGAAGAAGCAAACATTTTGAGTCATATTAAGCTTTTTTTCTGACAAACTTCAGAGAATAAAGCAACAGAACATAGATCGAAAACTGTTCTCTAGTATTACTTGATTGCTAAGGTGTTGACTTGGGTGAAGTAGACATGTCGTATGTTTGGGGGTCGGCTCAGGTGTATTAGGATGTCTTGATGTGGGGTGGGGTGGCGTCTGGTTGAGGCTAGTGGCATTTGGTGGGGTAGGGTAGGTTGACGTTTAGGTAAACCTTTTTAGCTCAGCCCAGTAAAATATATTTTTAACCACAATACTAAGGCAAGAAAAACAAATACCCAAATCTGGCAATTGCGTTACCATATTAGGCAAATGCTTCTCCAAATAAGACAAAACCGTATCCAAATAAAGCAAATACTTATCCAAATCTAGCAAATGCGTTATCATATCAGGCAAATGCGTATCCACATAAGGCAAATCCGTATCAAAATAAGGCAAATCCGTATCCAAATAAGGCAAATACGTATCCAAATCTGGCAAATGCGTTACCATATTAGGCAAATGCTTATCCGAATAATGCAAAGCCGTATCCGAATAAGGAAAATACTTATTCAAATCTGGCAGATGCGTTACCTTATTAGACAAATGCTTATCCAAATAAGGCAACTCCGAATCCCAACACGGCAAATACGTATTCAAATTTGGTAAATGCGCTCTTTCAGGTTATGGGGTGAGAATTAAACAATTCTCAAAAATAGATTTTTTGATGAAATCATGTTCAACTCGACTGTTGCATATAGTTTTTATCCTGAGCTCTAGCCCCTTGAATAAAAGAGTCTTAGGCCTAGACCCGTCTTAGGCCTGGACCCGTTATTTGTTATTCTATCTTCATAAAACTTTATCATCTCCATTATAAACCATTTTTTGCAATACCTTTAGGCCATGGCTGATGTTGTGAAAACACATTTACTTTCTGGCGATTCAAGCTCTAAGCAGCTTCCACTCCGATGTCCTATGTGCATAAATCCGAAATGCAAAGAAACAAAAACTTTTTTCCGTAGTTTTTCATTTAAGGATATATAATAGCCTTGTTTTCATTAATGATTTTTTCTAAGAAGCATCGGTTGTCCGGAAAAGTTACCATCTTAGTCAAATGCTTATCCAAATACGGCAAATACATATCCAAATACGGCAAATCCGTATCCAAATACGGCAAATTCGTATCCAAATAAGGAAAATACTTATCCAAATCTGGCAAATGCGTTACCATATAAGGAAAAGCCACCGAACTTTGATAATAATTTGTTACTGCGGGGCATGTGTTTTTGTTAAGATTTTCTCAGTTTAGGCCCATTTTCAAATTTTTGAAACCCCTACCAATGCGGGCTTTCACTTCAAATTATTGAATTGTGGTTTTAAAGTGACCGATAAATATTTTGGGGCTATGCAAAAAGCAATTTTTTATTCGCAATTTCATTATTTTAATTTATTATTCGATTGCGTGTATAATAAATTTTTTCACGAGTCTCAAAAGAAATAGTTTGGCTCAGTAATTTGTGAGATCCTTTTTTGCTGTTGTTTTCTATTTTTTTACTTTGCTTTAAAAGGTAGCTTTTAGGACGCTAAAAAGCGGCAGACCATTAGCGTACCCGCAGCAAAATGCGTTGTACCCGCAGCGTACCCGCGGCGTAGGATATCAAAGACTTCAAGTACTATTTTCTTATGCGGCAATGACATAGATGTTTCCAGGTCTCATTGAGGACTGCCACGACGGGCCTTCAGCGTACACGCAGCAAAATGCGTTGTACTCGCAGCATACCCGCGGCGTAGGATATCAAAGACTTCAAGTACTATTTTCTTATGCGGCAATGACATAGAAGATTCCAGGTCTCATTGAGGATTGCCACAGCATGCCTTCAGCATACACGCGGTACAAATGCGTTGTACCCGCGGCATACCCGCGGTGAAGGGTACCAAACACCTGAACTATTTACAAAGAAGAAAGCCAACAAAACAAGAAAAGAGTGCTTTTCAAAATGAAACATATTTTATATTTGATATGCAAATAAATTTTACAATAAAGAGTCTAATTAGAAAATAATATATTGAAACGTTGAGAGTTTAAATCGGATATTGCATATCCTAGCAATTTTACAACGAAGCACAATTTGATACAATGTCCACAGAATACTATGGTCTTGATATTAAATTTGATTAAAATATTAAAATATCATGTACAACTAAACCGCAACTAATATCATCGTCCCGAGAAAATAATATCATCATCACCAAATTACATAGAATTCCTGCCAAAAGTATTGGAACACTAATGTCAGTTTCTAAGGGTGGCTAGACTGCAGTTTAAGGACCCACTTTTCTGTTTCCTGGCCGAAAGTTGAATTGAATCGCTACTACCTAGCAACGATGACGCAAGCAACAATGAGAATGAAGATTTTAAGAAACCAAGGCATCTGTTTATAACTGGATATAGAGTAAAATGAATCAATCTATGATGAATTAACGGGGGTTTGGGGGCGGTAGCCCCCAAGGCAGCTTAAAAATTAAAGAGCGAAGTCATCCAAACTGATTTTGAAACTGGTGTATAGCTGCAATTGTGCGAGAGTGAATCCTCAACTGGCTGAACATCTGAGATTCGAACTTTCGATTGTTCAGAAACCAGGCTAGATCGAAAGGTTTGTAATTCAATTCAACTTCCGACCAGGGAACAAAAAAGTGGGTCGCTAAAGTGCAGGCGTCCCCTAAGGGCTAATACAATTACCAAATCCCCCCTTTGAACAATGTTCGTTTGCAATAAAACGACGTAGGAGTTTGCGATGTACGTTTTCATCTGTAAATTCTATGATATTTGTCTATACTGTCAATATTTTTAGAGATGGGGGTGCGAAAGTAGAAGTATTCGGGATAATAATTGACAAAATCGGGAAAAGAATTGAATAGCGAACTACGTTGATGAAATAACATAGGAAAACAATGACAAATAACAGTCTTAGCAAAGAGCTTTGTCGTACACCGTTTTATGGGAAATGTTCCCAACCATCCGTTGGGCAGTACAAGTTCCGGTTGTTAATTGAAAAAATATAAGTCACAGTGCAATGAATAGCATTAAATATAATTATAGCATTAGATATCATATGAATATCAGGAAAAGCACTAGCCCTAGGACAGATCCGTGAGGAGCAACACAATGTCTTTTATTTTATAATTAACAGCGTCTTCGATATTTTATTTATCTATACAACAACTTCAGGAACATCGCCGGATTAGACAATAGTATTTTTATCAGTAAAATACTTACAAAAGAAAAACAAATACATTGCAAAATACGTACAAGAAATTGTTTTACGTTAAGCATACTTTCGCTACAATTGATTAATCACGTTCCTAACATCGTGCAATCAACCCTGAGGCCCCCTGGGGCATTTTGCCCCTCATCCCCCCTTTCAGCAGCCCCACTTAAAGTGGATGCTATTGTCAAAACTCTTTCAAAGGGTTGGCAAAGAAATGTGGAACATTGCCATTCTTGCATCAATGAGCGAGCATTAAAATGGCAATTCCTGCGTCTTGATAAATGAAGCGATTTTATGAAAGACTCATACCAAAAACTATAACTTTGTACAAAGGAGATTTATCTGTAGTGTTGTGAGTGAGTTACAAGCAGGAAATTCTTGCAAAAATACACCTGTGATACGGGATGTTGGTTCTTTCTTTAAAGCCTGCATTTAAAAATATCTCAAACACTAATAACGGTATGGGATCGTAATGACATATCAGTGCTGATATAATTTGTTACTTTTTGCAACGAAAGCTGATTCCCTTGAGCTCCCTCAGCACAGTATTACTTTTCGAAACATAGTTTAGATCTTTTTCAGTGTAATGAGTTGATTTATTCTGAGCATTTAGATTCCTTCCAACCTGCTTAACTTCTTGTTAAGTGTATAAAACTTTTCTATTATTCATCCGTGGTTGAGAAACTTCCTGTGAGAAAAATGTTCTAACTGATTTCCTGTGACCAATGGTCATACGGTCACGGGGAAAATAACGCCCTGAAAAGAAGTAGGCGCTTAAAAGAAGTAGGCGCTTAAAAGAAGTGGGCGCTTAAAAGAAGTATGCGCTTAAAAGAAGTGGGCGCTTAAAAGAAGTAGGCGCTTAAAAGAAGTAGGCGCTTAAAAGAAGTAGGCGCTTAAAAGAAGTAGGCGCTTAAAAGAAGTGGGAGCTTAAAAGAAGTAGGTGCTTAAAAAAAGTAGGCGCTTAAAAGAAGTAGGCGCTTAAAAGAAGTAGGCGCTTAAAAGAAGTAGGCGCTTAAAAGAAGTAGGCGCTTAAAAGAAGTAGGCGCTTAAAAGAAGTAGGCGCTTAAAAGAAGATAGGCGCTTAAAAGAAGTATGCGCTTAAAAGAAGAGGCGCTTTAAAAGTAGACTCGCTTAAAAGAAGTAGGCGCTTAAAAGAAGTATGCGCTTAAAAGAAGTAGGCGCTTAAAAGAAGTGGGCGCTCAAAAGAAGTAGGCGCTTAAAAGAAGTAGGTGCTTAAAAGAAGTGGGCGCTTAAAAGAAGTAGGTGCTTAAAAAAAGTAGGTGCTTTAAAGAAGTAGGCGCTTAAAAAAAGTAGGTGCTTTAAAGAAGTAGGTGCTTAAAAGAAATGGGCGCTTAAAAGAAGTAGGTGCTTAAAAAAAGTAGGTGCTTAAAAAAAGTAGGTGCTTTAAAGAAGTAGGCGCTTAAAAGAAGTAGGTGCTTTAAAGAAGTAGGCGCTTAAAAGAAGTATGCGCTTAAGATAATTAGGCACTTAAAAGAAGTAGGTGCTTAAAAGAAGTAGGCGCTTAAAAGAAGTAGGCGCTTAAAAGAAGTGGGCGCTTAAAAGAAGTAGGCGCTTAAAAGAAGTAGGTGCTTAAAAGAAGTGGGCGCTTAAAAGAAGTAGGTGCTTAAAAGAAGTGGGCGCTTAAAAGAAGTAGGTGCTTAAAAAAAGTAGGTGCTTTAAAGAAGTAGGCGCTTAAAAAAAGTAGGTGCTTTAAAGAAGTAGGTGCTTAAAAGAAGTGGGCGCTTAAAAGAAGTAGGTGCTTAAAAAAAGTAGGTGCTTAAAAAAAGTAGGTGCTTTAAAGAAGTAGGCGCTTAAAAGAAGTAGGTGCTTTAGAGAAGTGGGCGCTTAAAAGAAGTATGCGCTTAAGATAATTAGGCACTTAAAAGAAGTAGGCGCTTAAGATAATTAGGCACTTAAAAGAAGTAGGCGCTTAAAAGATGCAGACTTAAAAGATGCCGGCTTAAAAGAAGTAGGCGCCTAATATTCACTTTTGGAATCTTGCTTGGAGTAACCTGAAGTAAGTTTGTGGATGCCGTAAACATCTCGGCTGTCAAAAGGTTCGTCAGGAGCATCATGGTATTTAAATTCGTCGTCCCGTGTGTTAGTCAAGCCTTTGGGAACTGAGTGAAGGCTGTCAAAAGGTTCGTCCCGTGTGTTAATCAAACCTTCAGGTGACGGTGCATTCTCCTCCGCCGCGACCTCAACGAACCTTGCTGTGATTTCAAAGAAAACCGCAGCAGAATGAAATCTGAAAAAGATGTTTAATGGAAAACATAAACTGGAGAACAATTTCCAGTTACCTTTGAAGAATTCGTAAGCAACAGGGTAGTATACGTCAGTTTGCTTAAACTCGAAAAATGAATCTGTTACCCAGAATGCAATGTTTGTCATGATCATGTACACACATGTTTGTTGAATCTTGTTCAATTTCTTCTCAGATGAAGCGTTCCTTGCATCTTTAAAATGAGGTCGAACACGCATCGTCCTTGTCAAGATCCATGTCTGCAATGTTGATTGAACAAAGCAGAAGAAATTGTCGACAAAAATACATCTCGCCGCGCTAGCCTCGATTTTGCTGTCTGCACCTCTAATGCTACTAGCAGAGGCGAACATGAAGAAGAGGCACCACGCGAGAACACCCATATAAGATAAAATAAGTAATGTATCGTTGATTGACAACGATTTCCTGATTCTTTCAGAATCTGAGAGCTGATAGAGAAGATAGATAAGACACCCAACTTGGGAAAGAAACACAACTGTCATCAATGAGTGATGAAACACTAGGCTATTATTATAATCATGCTTCTGTTTTAGCACAAGTGAAGAGACTGCTATCATTACACCCACTGCCAAGCCCGCTAAGAACCCTGGGTAACGGACTGTGTTCACTATACTGCATGTCTGGCTTGTTGTTGTTGATGTATTTGTGGTTGTTGCTGTGTGGCTACTTTCGGCCTTCGATGCTATTTCCTCGTAATCGGACGGTTTATAGCTATTGAAAGCCGATTTCATGGACTTGACAATAGCATAAATAAGGCCAGACGATGTTAGGAAAAACTCCAGAGTAAAGGGTGATGCATTTTCTCTCCAATCCTCCAAAAGACTTGTAACATTGCTTTTATGTTCGCATTCTTTATGCCTGTGGTCGGTAATACTCTGATCCACTGGAAAGATTTCAGCGTCCTCAACAACGAAATAGATCCACAGCGATATGTTCGTGGCCAAGATGTGGAAAACAATGAAACTCAAAGAACACAACCGCAACAACCTGGAGCAACAAAACTTCTGCAAGTACAGCATCTGACTTAGTGTGAATATAACTCGGAACACATGGTACGCTATGTGGGTTCTGGTCTCCATGCAATGAGCATACGCAAAAATGTAAAGGATATCTATAAACAGACTTCCACTGCCAAATGCGTATAACCCAGCCGTGAGATAGCGGGTACCGCTGTCTACTTTGTCGCGAAATTCCGCGAATTTTCCTCCAGATGATTTTCTGTTTTTGTAGTACATATATAGCATCCCAAGAATTGCTGAAAAAAAAATTTTGGATGATTTTGCGAAATGGAAAATAATATTTACATATCAATGTTTGTAAAGTTTTTTGTACTGATGCCAGATAGGGAGAATGGAAGTGACACGTCGTCAGGAGTACTTGGAGTGGATGAGGGGGACTGGTTGAGGAAGGGGAGGGGAGGGGTTGGTGGAGGAGGGGGAGAGGGGTTGTGGAGGAAGAGGAGAAGGCTGGTGGAGGAGGGAGATAGGGCTTGTGGAGGAAAGGGAAGAGGGCTGGTGGAGGAGGGGGAAAGGGCTTGTGGAGGAAAAGGAGAGGGCTTGTGGAGGAAGGGGGTGCTTAGGAGGTGGTGGTGAGGGGGAGACACCCCCTTGGAATAAAATTCATTGTTACAACGAATTTTTTTATCAACAAGAGTTGCTTCGTTGGTAAATTTTCAGATTTGTCGGCAAAAAAGGTTGGTACACCAACTTTGTAGGAAATTGGGCCGGAGCACTCCTCCCTTCCCTTGACTACAATTGCTAGCGACGGTCTTGGAGGGATCGATTTTGCATTTCAAAATTTATGGGGTGTGATGTGATACCATGATATAGTAATTGCGTTTAGGTAACCGAAAGTTATTAATGGTGGTTTTTTTGTTGTTAAAAGGGCGATTTTTACGACCAGAGAAGACAAACAGCAGTGGTTGAAATTGTCAAACTTCCAAATAAACCGGGGGCCGTAAATTAATGGGGTGGGTGTAAATATCTCAATGCAGAATAAACTGGGTGGATGAGTAGGACAGGCACTGCGGAGTGTCAAGAAAAGTGGGGGTCTAAAAAAAGTGGGAGGCTAAAACCGTATTAAAAGAGGCTTTACTGGTAGTTTATTGCTTAATTTTTGCAAATAGTAGGGGCTAAAGCCCCCCAGCCCTCCCTGCTCCGCAGTGCCTGTAGGAAACCTTGAAACTGGAAACAGAAGGAAAACAAGAAAGTTTGTTTCCTAAATGGGAGTTAGCTGGGAATTATCTTTAAAATGCCCTTTTAATCAAGCTTGCCCCCTTGTCCCTTGGTCGTTCCGGCGTCCCTGCCTGGGTAACAAAGGCACATGAATTTGAGAGCGGAATAGAAGTTTTGAGTGGATACCTCCACTTCTCTGCTCGAAATTCTGTGGGTCTTGTACTCAGGGTTCCACTTTTTCTACTGTTCGAATCGTCAGAGGTGGTGTTGCGAATCAAAAAAACGACTTTTGAACCGAATAGTGAGACCTTTGCTGTTTTCAAGCGACTGTTATGGAAATTTGGATCATCAAAACAATGAACTTTAGGTCATGGGCATCAATTATAAGTCTGGATAGGTAAAATGTTCGGAAAATTCAAAATTGTGACGGCTGTTGATTTGCTGAGTGGTCTTAAACTTGGAGACAGGAAATGTACCGTATTCTCACTTGTATTCCCGCTGTGGGTTTATTGTTTAAACCTCATTAGATTATTAGAGAGGCGGGATTATCAGAGCAGGGGCGGATCCAGATAAAATTTTGAGGGTTGCTCAGTTTTGGGTGGAGCTGATGCCACGCCCTTAACAATTTATAGTGACTTTTCTTTTGGACGTTCAGAAATTAGTAAAATGTCTAGTTTATGCTGATTTGTCTATAGATGAACCTCAAACAGTGGAAAGTTGAGCAAGGGTTGTCAATAGCTGTTTTTTACATAATTGATTTGCAATAATTTTTTCAACTTTGAAATAAAACCAATCCATAATATAGCTGCAATAAGAAAAAATTATAATTGCTTTTCTTTAAGTTGAATAAATACTCTATCCCTGCTATAGGTATGATAGGCATTAATGAAAGATTAAATTTTTCAACGTGCTTTAAATAGCGGGCTTAAATTTGCAACCTGTTTCCCTGTGTGCGGAAGCTTTGCATTTAAGTTACGAAAAGCAAAGACGGTGATTGGCTGATTTGGTTGGAAAGTTGGCGCTGATTGGCTGAAACATCACCCTTGCTGTTATCAAATAAAAAAGAA